CAGTCCCCATCATTTGAGTAATTCGCAGCCCAATAACACAGGTAAGTATTTGGTGTCCACTTCTTTGTCTCGAGTTTTTTCAAAACTCAGACAAAGAGGGGCAAACTGTAGACACCAAATTTTGAATAATTTGTATGTGGCATCTATTTCATGATTTTTATTTTAGATCGCTTGCATTTAGTTCATTGTTGTGTGTTTTGCATTTCTAGTTGTTATTTTATTTTAGTTTTATTCATTTTGCCCTTTTAGTTTGTCTATTCATTTTTATTTTGTCATTTTAGGTTTTTAATCACTTTTAAGTTTTAGATTTTAGTTTTTAGTTTTTAGTTTTTAGTTTTTTTAGTTTTTAAGTTTATAGAGTTTTTAGAAAGAAAAGAAAAATCATTTTAGTCATTTTGTTTTTTTTGCTTTCTTGAAAGAAAAATGAAAATGCAAAATCATAAAAAGGAGAAAAAAGAAATTAAAGAAAAAGAGGAAAAGAAGAAAAATTCAAAAAAATAGGTTTTAGATGGATTGGAAAAATGAAAAAAAGAGGAAAAAGGAAAAAGGAAAAATTGTTCACCAAAATATGTTTATTTCTTTAAATTCAATCTTTGGGCACTTTAGTTATTTTTATTAAGTTATTTTGAGAGAAAGAAAATGATGAAAAGAGAAAAATTGAAAATTAAAAAATGGCCATTTTTGCTTAGTGTTTTGTTTAAAATTATTTTTGTTTTGTTATAATTATTATTACCTGGTTTGTGTAATTTTGTTATTATTTATTTTATCATTTCTGTAATTATCAAGTTGTATTAGTTTTCTTGAAAAAAAAAAAAAAAAAAAAGGGATCGTGGCCTGCAAGCTGCATTTTTGGCAGCTTGCAAAGGGCTAACTTCGTACGTGCCATTGAAGGGCAGGATGAAGGCAGAGGCTGGCCTTCATCCTGACCATTCAGTGGAGGGTTTAAGGGCCTTGGAGTTTCATATAAAAAAAAGAAAACATCAGCCGCAAGAGGGAGTTTTTTGGGGGGGGCATCGACAGGCAAACAGAAAACTGAGCAAGGGTTTGGGCAAGAAACGAAAGGAGAGCTGAGCTAGAGATTGACAGCCAGAAATCTAGAAAGAGAAAAGGGAAAAAGCAAAAGAAAAACCAGGAGAGTTTTGAGAGTTAACGGTGTCGGTGAAGGTGTTCGGCATTTGGGCAGTAACCGCAGCCAGGGGGAGGATTTGGGAGATAGGTTTCGAAGAGAGAAAAGAGAGCAAGAGAGGGGCGGCTGGGTTTTGAGCAAGAAACAAAAAGAGAACTGGGAAGAGAGCCGAGAGAGTTAGGAAAGAAAAACTGAGAAAGGTGAGGGAAAAGAGCGGCGGCCAGAAGAGGAAATTTTCCAGAAAATCTGCTATCCACGCTGACTTTCTGTTATCTTTGGAGGCAATTTTCTCTATGGATTTGGCCCCTTATTGTAGATTTAGACAATCTGGAACATCTACAGCGTAATGGGAGTGTTTTCCATTCAGAAATCTTGAAGGGGAAACCACAGAAAGATAGCCAAATCTGGAGCCAAAGTGATGACTCCATCTGTGCCGAAGTTCTGCGGCGGCATTATTAATCCCGTTTCTGCAATCAGTGTGCATCCCCTCGACAACATTTCACGTTCAACTGGCCATGAAATCTTCCTCAGGTAACTGTAGTCTCTCCTTTTGTTCATTTTACATAATAGTGTAGGGATTTAAGCTAGTTAGATGCGGGTTTTAGGTTGCTTTTGCTGTTGCCAACATTTAATACCCACGTTCATCTTTCTGTTGCACTGATTTTGGTGGTTGTGATTAGTTGTATGCCTGATTGGGGGAACAGATGATTGTTTGGAGTGTTAATAACCCGGGTTGGAGGTCGTGACATTGGGAAGTTTGAGTAGACAAATCACTAAGCATTCATTTCATTACTTCGCATGAATCTGTTTTGGTTGAATTGTGAAGCCGCAGAAATTTTCCAACTTTGCATGTTTTTTATTCTGGTTTTCTTGGTGATGCGGGAAGCACATTTGGTGAGCTTTTTGTTGGGTTTCAAGCTGTGTTCGGCTGGGATGTGTGCACGGAAATCTGCTGCAACGAGCAACAAGCTCGTAGCTTCTGGTTGTTGCAGCGGTTAGACAGAACTGATTTTTTTTTGGGATGATTGAGGTTCTGGTTTCGCACGCCCCTGTCTTGGCAATTTTGTTGGCTGATGTGAAGTAATTCATCTTATCCGTTTGATGCTAATTCTTGGTGGTCCATGTTAGAAGAATCCGAAGGTTGTCTTGCTGTTTTGCTGGTGCTTAAGACAGCGTTTTGAAGCTGCAATTTTTGTAGTAAAAGGAAATATTGCAGTAGTGCATGAATTTCTGCCAATTATTTGCATTTTCTTAATTGGAGTAATTGCAAAGCTGTGTGTATGAATCTGCTGTGCTGAAATTGCTGAACCATGTGTTTAAAGATTATGTAGCAAAGTTCCGCATATAGCTTCATCAATTTGTAAAATTTTGCTGCAGCATGTTTCTCACGTAGCTTGCATGGGTTGCATGAAAAAGTTCCCAAAACTTGCACTTTGAGCCCCAAGTCTCCCCTTAAGCCACTAAGGCCCAAAAACTTTGGAAATTTAATCAATTGGATCCCTTGTATTTTTGCAGCAATGCATGATGGCCCAATTACATTCCATGTTCTTGCAATTAGGTCCTAAGATACTTGCATTTGAACCATTACTTGCCCTTTTCTTTGTCCCTAGACCCTTGAAGCTCCTAAAAGGGTTTGATTAGGCTTGAATGCTTGGTTAGTGTTCGCAATTGAGTCCTTGGAGCCTCAACTTTGCAATTCGATTGCTCGTTTGCTTTCATTTTGCTTAGGTAGTACTTCATGCATGAATTTGTGAACTTCATGACCAAGTGAGCTTGGTTTTGCACATTTTCTTTCATTTTTTTAAATAAATTGGTACCTTGACCATTTCTTTTATTTTGGAGGATAAATAAGTGATTTCACTTCATTGGGCCCCACTTTCAAGGGAGGTACACTCTATCCCTCACTTGCACTTCATTTGACCCTATGTGCTCCTACGTGTTATGTGAATATGCCTGTCTACTTCGCTTTCCTTACCTCCTTGCATGCGTTTACTTACTTTTACTTTTATTTAAGTTTTTATGGGGTATGTGTACACCTCTTGGCTTGTAATAGATAGGGCTCGGAGAGCATCTGGTCCATTTCCCCTTCCCCTTTATGCTTTTATGGGGTATGTGTACACCTCTTGGCTTGTAATAGATAGGGCTCGGAGAGCATCTGGTCCATTTCCCCTTCCCCTTGGTTGCTTGTTTTTGTTGCTACATGTTTAATTGCTTTATTAGGCTCTTGCATCTAGTCGAGCATGCTAAATGCTATGTGCTATGTGTTTACGAGTATTTTGGCATGTCTACTTGCTTTCATAGCCATGAATGAATGGAATGGATGAATGTACGTTTCCGCTAGTCCAACGCTAGTCGGAATTCATAGAATGGGCTAGTCCAACGCTAGGCTAGTCCAACGCTAGACCCTTAGGGATTTCCCCTCATTAGCATATCATTTGCTTGTTCACCGCATATCATGCATTTTTCTTAGTTTTATCACTTGGCATGCTCCTCGAACCCCCTTTCCCTTCATTTTAGGATTTTTGCATATCATGATAGTTGTAGGGTCCATTTGCTTGAGGGTCCCCTTCCGATAAGGGAAACGAGCGAGTGTGGCTACTCGATAGCCTTAGCACGCTAGTTTCGCCTTCTAATCAAAGGGAAAATCAAGTCACGATTTAGGTCTCCCCGTACCCAATATGCATGAATTCCTTAGGCTCAGGCATTCTCAATCCACTCTATCATTACACTTTCATTTTTCCTCCCATTTGCACACATGCACCTTTTTATCGCCTTCACTTGCACACGAACACTTTTCTTGTCTCCACTTGCACACGAACCCTTTTATCTTCACTTGCACACGAGCATTTTTATCTTCACTCGCACACGAGTACTTTCATCTACATTTGCACACCTTCACTCTTACCTTATTACTTTTATCATTTTTCTCACTTCACACAAACTCACACTTTCACATGGCATGCATTCCACTCATTTTTCACGTCATTTAGGTTTAGGTGTGACCTCTCCAAAAGGATCATTATTGGGCTTCACAACTAATGTGATTGGCACCACTCAACCTTTGAAGAGAAATTTCCCCCATGTCCCCCTAGGTCTAGGTTTTTGCATTCATATAGACATATCCAAACACGCGATGCATACCTTGGGTAGAAAAATTAGGGAAAATTGGTTTAAGTCACGCAACTAGCCTTGGCTAGGTCGAAGGGGTGCCTTGGATTTTTATCCTTGCCTTCCCCTTCGTCAAATGTGACCCCCGATCCCTCTTTTGGTTACGTAGACCCAAAAGTTCTCAAAAAGGGTTTATTTACTTTTTTTATTCAAAAACAAAATCATTTTTGGGTGACTTGGTACACCCCAAATCTATACCAAGTGGCGACTCCGTCTTCATATTTAAAAAAACCCTTTTTAAAATTTCATTTGGCCAAATCGTCGCTTTCCAAAGTCCCATGGCCTTTTTACTTTTCATTTTGCACACGTTCACACCACACTTCACACACACATCACACACCATTCACCACTCGAATCGAAAAGTGGGGCGCGACAAACATGTCCTTGTATGTACTTCAACAGCTTAATTCATTCTATTGTGCATCAAAATTCAAGTTGGAGCCTCATGCTGAGTCAAGCCTCAGGTGGTCTGCAGACACAACACAACTTGTTTGCAGCACTAACTGTATTTGGCACAAGCATACACATTGTAAAAGGATTTTCATTGCCTAAATGACTAGACACCTAATATGAGTTAGGGTCAGATTCTATTGTTCCACCAACAGATAGTTGCAGTAATGTACTAACGTTCGTCTTTGAATAATTATAACATGTTTCAGATTCTCAGGTATCCATCTCATATTCTTTTTATCATTTTTCTTTATAGATACAATGTTGCTCTTACAAATTGCACAATTGGTGATTCCTGTGTTATCCACAATGGTGTCTGCATTGGCCAAGATGGTAAGGCTGGGTTCTCCATTATGATGCATAAAAAACTCATCAGATAGGTTAGATTTCTTGAGGCAGAATATGCACCTGATATTGTGTTGGACATGTTTTGAATCGTAATTTATGCTGTTTTCACCAGGATTTGGATTTTTGGTGGATGAACAGGGTAATATGTTGAAGAAGCCACAGGTACTGAATTTTTCTTTTTTGGTGTTCATATGACTATCTTTATAGTTGTTTCAAATCCTTCCATTGGAGATTAACATGCATGAATACAGTTGAAGGCTGTATCTAAGATTTGTTACAGGTGCTTAATGCTATTTCATGATCTTGGAAATTTCTTGGTCTTGATTCTCTATTTCCTTTTCTGGTACTCAAACACATACGATATGTCTTCTTTGCCCATCTCCTCTCCAGCATTTGAAAGTGAAGATAGGTAACCACGTGGAAATTGGAGCAAACACATGTATTGATCGAGGCAGGTAACTAATCATCTGAATGCTACCTTGAGTCATTATATGTCATTCATGAATATGGACAGAAAGATGCTTTGCAGTAATTAAATTTAACAAGGATAATTTGGCTTGCAGTTGGAGAGATACTATTGTAGGAGATCACACAAAAATAGATAATTTGGTTCAGGTATATTAACAGTTTTTGATTTACAACCTCCTCTGCTTTATGCACATTTGTAGTCTTTTGGTTTCAGATTGGTCACAATGTACAAATCGGGAAGAACTGCATGATTTGTGGGCAAGTTGGAATTGCAGGTTCAGTAACGTATGTTAGTTCTTCAGACCCCCCTCCTCTTAAGCAAAAGGAAGAAGAAAGATCAAACTGTTGGCTTAAAGTATTAGTTTTCATTGAATTCTAACATGGAGTTGGAAACTTAGTGCCTTTGTTAATATATTTTTTGTTAAATCTGTGCAGGATGGGTGACTACGTGACACTGGGTGGAAGGGTTGCAATCCGTGATCATGTCTGCATTGCATCAAGGGTAACTAATGATCGCACCATCATGTTGACTTCATTTTGCATTTATTTCAGATGCATTTCTGTGGAAAACTAAAAATTTGTTGAGTGTAGGTTTTGTTTTTTGGCTGGTACTGAGGCATACATGAATCATATACACAGCTGACCTGTCTCTAGAAAAACTTCTCATTTCATTTTATATAATCAGGGGTAGATGATTATTTAGCATTTTAAAATTGTCAAAGCAAGTATAGTTTGATTCTGAAAGTTATAGCTAAAGTAGATTGTTTGGGTTGCCTACTTTTCTTTTTGCTGCGAAGGAGGACCAAGGTCCTAGAGCAGCGGGTCCAATCTGGTAGTAGCGACCCCCATATTTTGGGCTGCCTACTTCAATACTGCTCTCATAGCCATTTCAGTCAATCACTGTGTCTTGTTGAAGTTGGCAAATGAGATATTTTTTTGTTTTTTTCACCAGTGATAGTAATATATTCATTCTTTATGTTAGAGTTTTTGCTTTAGACATACAATTACTCATGTTAAAAATTGCATCTTCTGGCCTTCTTTTCCCTCTTTTCCCTGGTTAACCAAGCCTTCTTGGATGCATATGGTGGAATTGAGGGCTGGGCAGTGTCCTTAGTGAATATAAGCTTCATTGAGTGATGGATAATGATGTAGTAACTGAGTCTGATGCTACTCTAGAATTCGACATCCCTTTTTCTTATTTTCAGTTGCATTACCAATTTACTATTTATGCTGGTTACAAACTGTTATATTGAATCAAATCTAAGAGCAATGCACGATGATAATGTCATATCTACTTGGGTTTAGCTGTTTCTGGTACCTGATGTTTTACTTATAGTCATCATATTTATATATTGCAACCTTAGGTGTTTGGTCAAGCCAGCTTGAGTCTAGTTTACTTGGATTTTCACTGCAAACAACTCATTTCCAGTGGAAATGGCTCTTGGTTTTAGACTACAGTCATGTTAAGTTTTGGTATTTTAAAGCACGTGGTTGATGCAAGAAGATGCTCTCAGCCATATACTTGATTTGTAACATAATCTATCTGCATTTCAACTGTTATTTTTTATTTGACTCCACCTTACACTATCTTCTTACTTATGTTTAACTTTGTGAATGTTTTGATGATTGCAAGAATTACATGTGTATACTATTTTGACCATCATGACTTCAATGCGTCATGTCAGTGTTTATTTCTTTCCCATCTTTTGCCATCTCTGTATGAATGTGTCATTGACCAACTATTTATTGCTACATGCAGGTCAGATTAGCTGCTAGTAGCTGTGTCACAAAAGACATTAATCAGCCAGGGGATTATGGTGGCTTCCCTGCTGTAAGTGTCTTGATATTTTGCTACTTAGAAATCAGAATCATGTTTTATCCAAAGGAAATAAATGAAATGCTTTATCCCTAAAAAAAAAGGATAATTGGTTAATAATTCTGAATGTAGTTCCTGTAGAAGGATTTTAATATTGTTAATGTAATTGTGGAAAGATTTTCCATGGGCTTTTGCTGCAGATGCCAATTGGGAAATGGCGAAGACAAGTTGCTGCTCAACGTCAGACATTCAAGTAGGAAACCTGCGTGCGTCTTAGGGAATCACTGCTACTGTTGAGATCTTGATGGCTAACCTTGTGCGACTGCCATGATTATCCTTGGTTCTCGATGACATGGATACAAAACTGCTGAAATAGCTAGTGGCTTGAAGAAACTTTTGTCTGTGCATCATTTTATGTTATGAAACAGGGTGAGACTTTTGATAGGTGTAATGTAATTGGAATTACCGTAATTTTTACTAGCATGTCTATAACTCAGTAGAAACTTTTATCCATATAATGAACTGATTTACTCAGAACATCTGCTTTAAATGGATTTTTGAGGTTAGAAAACTGCAAAAGTTTTAAATTTGACGAGTTTGGTCTGCATCCTTCAAGTTTTTTCCAGTGCCTGCCAAAAGTATTCTTATGTTTAGCTGAGGATAATTAGTAATATATCATTCCTTAGGAGGCTGTAAAGCAATTAGCATGACCCGAATATTTTCTTTGTATCCGCTTGAGCTTGTTTCATATGTTAATTGACGAAGTAATAAACTGCTTTCCTCCAAAAGATTTGTAGTAATTAAACATCTTTAATTGCATTCATCTCTTGCAGTAGACGTTTGAAATTAGGATTATGATTTTGCACGGGGGGCAGACTGAGGAAGGTTATGCCTGGGGTACCTTAATTTCAATTGGAGAAATCAATCTGAGTCATTTCAGGAGCCTCCATTTTCTGAAAACACGCTCAATCTCTATTCTTGGCTCATTTATCATGTCCGAATCATAGAGTAGGAGGCTTCGTGTGGGTGTGATTCATGTCGAACGTTGTTTCATGTGGAATGTGCTAGTTTTGATCGGAAATGTATGATCCCTTAGCTTAAATTTACATCTGCAGCCGTACCCAACTCCTGCATGACACTCTATCTGTCTACATAATCTTGAAACAATGACTAGTTAACCACTTTACCTGTGATATGATATGATTCACGTGAATCTGATTCTCCATTTCTTCCAGCCATTATGCATCTTGGTCTTGCTTGGAATCTTGCCGTCTGATCCAATCGGTAACTGGGCTTTCAGGTGCACTCCGTAACGCCTGCTCTTAATTCCCCAGGTTCGATATCGAATCTTGGAAGCTAAAGCAGCCTGCAATTGAGCTTTTCGATTTGATATTTGGTCGTGCAATGCTTCCCACACCTTTGCATCCACATAGACAACTCCTATTTTTGGTGTTGTTTCCCCTTTATCTTGGGAGAAACGCGGTATGGTTGTGGAAGCTATGGAGTCCTGATTGTTGTAAAAAGTCAAGATGCAGTCGTCAAAGTAGGTGTCTGAATCCTTGTTGGGATTTTCAATCTCTAAGGCATACTCTATGTTGCCGTTCTCAACTGAGAACTTAGTAATGGTGTAGTCGGGGCTTTTCGGGCGGATGCTTAGCCACATGACGAAGGCTAGCAATCCCAGAAGGATAATGATTTGGGAAATCCAGAGTTTGAAGCTCGTGACTTCCACCATCTTATCTTTGTTTTTTGACTTCCACTGTAGATTGAGGGATTTGGAGGCGGTGGGTGACGAGAAAACAAGTTATAGCACAAGGCCAAGTAGTTAAGCATCTGGAACCGTTGTGAAGAGATGGGGTTGGTTTAGTTGATGTTGTGAAGGCATGCCTGCCAAGGCCGAAGCGATGCTTTTCTTTCACTTTTAGTGATGCGCCAAGCCTTGAGTGCTTAGATAAAAGGAATCTGAGACGTGACTCGCTCAAGGAAGCCATTCCAAAATCCAAATGCAGTTTGGTCATCTTCCCAAGCCCCACCCCATCGAGACCAGGAATAAGAGAAGGCTCCTTCTTTTTCTTTTTCTTTTTTTCCCTTTTATTTTTGTTTTTGTTTTCACTTTTCCTCCCATTTCTTCATCGAAAGCAGAAATATATACATATATATATATCCTACACACTCCCTCTGTTCTAATCAGAATCTATTTAGAAGCCACCTAAATATCTGAATATTCTACTGCATTTTCTGGCATGACTATTTTACACTTGCTTTGTTAATTTCCCTGCCAAGTGGCATATTAGAATTTAGAACCTCTCATCGGAGGGATTTAATTTGCTCCCCTAAGGACACAAACCAAATACTAAAAGTTGCTGCCAAATGACCGTATGCTAGATTTCGACATCTTTCTTTCTAGGGCCAAAAAAAAAAATTTCTAATATTACCATTTTGTTTCACTGGAAATGATAGAGCTATAATTAATCTCAATTGCTTGATTTTACAACATTGAAATGGTATTAGTCACATGATGTATTTGCTTAACCATTTTGAAATCGAACTACATTAATTGTCAGAATAGAATAAATTTACCTATATAATTTAGGTTTTGTCTAATAAATGTGAGTCTGTACATTCATATGATTTCTTCTAACGTTACCGGAAAAAAAAAAAGTACATTCATATGATAAATTTTGCATAAATTAATGTGCAAATGACTGCTAACTAAGCGTCGTTAGAAAAATCCTGTAATTTGGCATGCAATTGTGTGAGCTATTTCCAAAAAATTTTATGGTAATTAAAAAGGTTTTCCTCATCTGAATTCTGTTTAATAAATGTAATTTCCTTAATTAGTATTTTAGGTTAAGCTTCATTTGTTTCTTAAAGCATATAACTAGAAACAAACAGTGCGTCGAATCATGTAGTATATGAACATGACCGTCATTGATTAAAACTGTCGTAGATACAGAAAAAGTAAAAAGCGTTTGAGAAAGTTGAGTTCTGAGAAACATGTTCCCACGAAATGCCACCTCTCCAGGTATACATCAATTTTGATCACAGTAACATCGAATCTTACATCAAATTCACAATCACTAATAATAATTTTTTTTAAACCAAAAAAAAAGAAAAGAAAAAAATATCTGGGATTTCCTCTCTTAATCCAGATTAATCAGCTGAAATAAACAGGACATCTTTTATCTTTGTACTCAGGCAAGATGGTGCCATCAGGGCCAACTCCAACCGGACAATTAGCATGCAGGGTATGATGCTTACTATCCCACGAAGAAATTTTGAATCTAATGGTCGAGGTTACATCAAGCTTGAAAATTACCCTTCCTTGTGATCGATCAGCTAAAAATTGCTGCCATCTTTGATTGGTGACGGTTAATGTAGCACCACTCAAGCTACCAGCAAGAACTGTGGTATTTTTGGGCCCTTGGTAAAATGGATACAACAAAGAAGTAGCCCCAATGCCTTGATCATCGTAAGTTACTGAAATGTGCATTGCATCGTAGAAGATCCCAATCGCCCGGTTTGGATTACGGGCAGTGACGTTGAAATCTATCTGGGCATTTTCAAACCCGTTTCCTTGGGCAATAGCTGGAATTGAAAATTCATGGATGTGAAATCTTGGCCTGTGCGGGCGTAAACTTAACCACAAGATGAATGTGATCACGCCAATCAAGAAAAGAAAGAACAAGAAAATGGAGCAGACGAGCTTGGAAACCCTCGTTGCTAAGCTTTCTCGCACCCTATGGGCGTAGTAACGGGCAGAGTGGTGCCGCTTGACCGGCTGGTTTTGCGGACTAGGGTTAGCATGAGTTGGTAATGGGTACGAGGAGCTCATGATACTTTTTTTTTATAAAAAAAAAAAAAAAATTTTTTGTGGCAGTTGTAAGTGACAAATGTTTTGAGGAAAGATTGATGATGAACAGGATATATTTTGGATGGTTGTTTAAATATATAATGTCTTGACCAAGCCAATAGAGGATGCCCGAGGAACGAAGGAACGTGATGAGGAATGTTAAGAGTTTCTTTTGCATGGGTAAAGGAAAGAATAACAAGCTAGCTGCTCATCCCTTATCTCTTTTTTGCTTCTACATTCATTTTAGTACTGGCAGATGATCTTTAGTTCGAATGTGTGGCCTCATTACAATGAGTCGTCAATATCAAATACTTGATGCGTAGAATCGACTCAGGTGATTTTTTTATTTTATTTTGTTGATTGTGAGCATATGAATGACCTTCGAATCCAAGAAACAGAGGTCTTGAAAAAGGTATATGATGCTAAATTGACTTGTGTAGGAGAGGTGCTGCATGAATTGAGTTGCGTGGTTTCTTCTTTTCTACATTTTTGTATGAAATGATTCTTTTGTTAACTTATCTTCAAGCGGAAAAGAGAAAAGGGGGGGGGGGGGGGGTAGGCAAAATGAAAATTTGTTGAGAAATCTTAAGCACCAAGTAAGCCAGATTTAATGCTGTCTAGTACAAACAGAAAATTGAAAAATCAAATTTCATTTATTAAAAAAAGAGAGAAGAAGTTCAGAATGAAAATTGGAAGGCTCTTTAAACAGAGGGATGCTTTAGGTTATATATTTGCAATTGCTTCATTTATTAAAGAAGTTCTCAGACATTCATCACTTGATTCTTCTATAATCCTGTTTCACTCGCAGTAGTACGGCAGCCGGCATGAAACATGGAATGGAACACGGATAAACACGTGATGCTAAGATATGTTTGACAGGACCCAAGAATAACAGAAAAATGTCTAACAGGTGCCAAATATTTCAGGTGTTAGATTTTTGGAAAAATTAACTAGAAAAAGTGAAAAAATATGATGAAAGATAGTAATTGTTAGTATATGTGTATATATATATATATGACAGATCGAGTGGAATTCAAGCGTGTTAATGAATCCCTATTAAAATAGGCACTCGTTAAATAAACCCAGAACAAATATGATCAGTAATAAATGATTTTGAATTTTATCTTAAAAGTTTTGAGCCATATTGCAGTATAGGTTTTAATATGACATTGGTCCATTTACTTAAATTCTTTACATGTGTCAAGTACAAGACTCACATTAAACTAAGAGTAAATTTTGTATGCACTGTCAGTGTATACACTATTAAGGTTGGATGGACGACGCATGATCAAAATTTGAATTTCAAATTCAAATTTACATGTGTCATATATCTAATGGTGATAGTATATATACTGATAACGTATATAAGATTAATCCATAAACTAAAGTGTAACACAAATGTAACATCCAAGGGCATATGATATAATGTGTCAAAAAAAAAGGTACATGCTACAACATCGTCTTAAATGTGTTGGTAATGCTGTTGGACTCAACGCAACTCCAATAGCATGTCATGGGAGGTATAGATTCATTACATGGCCACAAAAGCCATGAAATGAGCATTACACGCATCATTAGAATAATACGTGTAAATGCTGCTGAAAAAGAGGAGATAGTGGATCTTTTTTTGCAACGAATAAATTTGATTAAACATGGACAATAGCTAAAATTTCATGGTGCAAGTTAACGTTCAATTTTTTTTAAACGGTCATTTTTTGGTTCTCTCTATATAAACACACAAGACACCTTATATATATATATATATATATTATCCTACTCTATTATTTCTCTTATTCTCTCATTTATTTTTCTCAACCTCTTTGCAAGCGGAATTACGTGGTCGAGAACTACATCATGAACTTCGATCGGACTTGGTCGAGCATATTTGGAAACGGTTCGGAGGCCATAACAATGAAAACTGGTATTCATTATGTTATTATTTGCATTTTATTTGATTTAAATTATGTAATATTATGTTATAGAGTCCAATTAATTACATAGAGAATTATTAATTAAGTATGGATTATTATGATATTTTCACATTTGAGATATCACATATTTGTTTAATAATTACATAATTATTTTTCAAAAAATAACAATATATTATTGTTTGAGAGATAGAAAAAGATATATTGTTCAAACTCAGAATTTAATAATATTATTTTGTAGAAAATAAAAAATTCAAAAGGTAAAAAATTTAAGAAATTTAATAATTTATTTTAAAAAAATAATGAAATTATTTTTAAAAAATTACTTTATTTATTTACAGAATATAAGTTGTGCATTATTAAAATAAATATTTGATTTGATTGTGAACCCATACTATCATATATACCATGTGGAATGTAATATATATTGAATGTGAGTATAATAAAAGAGAAGATAGTTGAATGTTGATTTGGTATGTGAATTACACTCTAATGTGGATGCCCTCGTGACGTAATTGATCATTCGTAGAACTAAACGAGGGAATCTTTTAAGAGTATATTATTACTATTATCCCCAAGTAGCACCCTAGGTGATTAGGTCGTGTAATAAATATCGAATATTTCCACGAGTTGATAGGGTAATAATATATCCCCATATCAAAAGGCACCTCTGTTCTGTCCATGCCCCAATGGAATGACTCTCCCATTCATATTGCATTCTTAATTCTGTTAGTTGTAGTAGAACTCTAATTGCAATCCCAGAATCCACTGGGGACAAATATAGTTGTGTACCTTCAAGGCTTCAACAAATGCGCGCTGCCTGAATAATATGTTGGGAAATTTGCCAAATTGGTCCCTAGCATTTGCCAAAAAAACTTTTTTAGTCCCTATCATTTAAAATTAGCCTGAATTGTCTCTAAGATTTATATTATGATCCATTTTTGTCATAATGCTCGTATTTGCTCATTTCTCCGACTGAAAATAGCACGTCTCTCTCACGTAGGCATATTGTTATTCTTGGTTTTGATGATCACAAAAGTTCGTTTATACAGACCAAGAAAGTGAACACTTTGATCAGGCCTGATGGAACAAGGAAAGCATATGTCTGATTGACTCCAGTCTACGATGCTTTGGATGTGGCAAACAAGATTGAAATAATATAAATGAATTTAGTAATTGTTTTGTTCCGATCAAAGATACTGTCTTTTAAGTGTGTCTTGTGTGTCATTCTTGGCACTTTGAAATATTTATCTAACCTTCTTCGAAAACAAGTGTTTTTGTCTATCCAAGAATCAGGTTCGAATATGTCATCAAAAGCAAAACAACCAAAATGTGAAGCAAAAACAGGACAATCAGGTCGGACGGCCGAAAGGAATCTGTCGGACGTCCGAAAGGATGAAGAACATCAGGAAGGAAGCTCTGTCGGACGCTCATATGGGAGCATCGGACGTCCGGAAGGATCGGACGCACACCTCGGACGCATTTCAACCAGATCGGACGTCCGAAAAATTCCAAGATAACTTGCTAGCTCTCGGCCCAAGGTCGGACGCTGTGCTGTCGGACGACAAAAAACTCATCGGACGTCCGAACCTCAACATGGCTATCATCGGACGATTGGTTCGGACGATGATTCGATCGTCGGACGTCCGACAGCCCCAACGGCTAGTTGACTCTTCAGCTGCCTTCTATCCGTTGGAAGCATTGATGAAGCCCATTTCTGGTTCCCTTTAAAATTAAACTGGTCTGAACGAAGTAAAGACTTTTGAACACTTTGTTTACAAGTTCTCAAGAGATATTTTAGCTAGAAAATAGTCTCCAAAGCAGATTTGTATTAAAGTGGTGTGAATTTCTGTTGAGCATTTCTTTTGTGGTTGAAAGGATCTTTAGTGTAGCTTTGTTGAGGGTTTTCTGAGTGATTGTAAAACTTCTTAGCTTGACTAAGTGAGGCTTAGGGCGAGAAGGAAGTGCTCCCTCCATTGTACATCTAGTTGATCTTCTTTCATCAAAGAGAAGTTGCTCTTCCTAGTGTTTGGTCTTCAAGTTTGAGGATAGTTTGGTAGACACCTGGTTTGATTCCCTATTTTATTTTTCTGTTTAATAAAATTCTCATTGCTTTTCTATACTTATTTTTCTGATCAATATTGCTCCTGTCTTCTAATCTACTTGGTTAATCATTACTAGAAAAGAAGGTAAATTTTTATTAAAGAAAAAGTGCATAAATTTGGTTAGGATTTTAATCAACCCAATTCACCCCCCCTCTTGGTTGTCTTTGGGACTTACACATATTTTCAAGGGTAAAATCGAAAAATACACTTCATTTTCAGTTGAGTAAAGCCATATTTCCTTCATATTTTCGCATTTGTGTCCTAATTGTCTCATTGAAAGAACGAAATTGAAGAAAAAAAATATAGCTGCAACTGGATGGAGTGTGTAATGGAGGAAGAGAATAGCAAGAAAATGTGAAAAAGATGCTATTTTCAGTCCAAGAAATGAGTAAATACGAGTATTAGGACTAAAATGGATCAAAATTTAAATGTTAGGAACAATTCTGACTGATTTTAAATGTTAAGGACTAAAAAAGTTTTGTTGACATATGTTAGGGACCAATTTGACAAATTTCCCTAATATGTTTGATAGATTTGACCCCTCGGGGGATAGAGAATCAAGCTGTATCTGAAATCTCGTGGGGTCCGTTTGGATTAGCTGTTTTTGGGGTTATTTTTCAAAAACAATACTGTAGCATTTCGTTTTTGAAATACAAGTCCGTTTGGATTAGTTGTTTTTGGGGTTGTTTTTCAAAAACTATATGAAAAACTTTTACTGTAGATGTTTTTTGGATTATTTTTAGAGGTATTTTTAAAACATATTTTTGAGTATTTTATAATTTATAATTTATATATATTTATGCATTTATAATACATTTATAAATATTTATAAATAAATATATTTATATATTTATATAAAAATATATCAATATATTATAAATGTATTATATTATACATAATACATAATATAAATATATTTATAAATGTATATTATTATAAATGTATAAATTATAAATTAATATTATATAAATGTAAAAATTATAAATTATAAATTATATATTTCATATAAATATATATTTATGCATTTATAATACATTTATAAATATTTATAAATAAATATATTTATATATTTATATAAAAATATATAAATGTATTATATTATATGTAATACATAATATAAATATATTTAGAAATGTATAAGTGTATATTATTATAAATATATAAATTATAAATGAATATTATATAAATGTATAAATTAATATATCATAAATATATATTAATATTATGTATAAATGTATTAATATAATTAATATAAATATATAAATGTATTAATATTATGTATA